GGGGGGGGGTGATGTAATGGACGCTACGGGAGGTTTAAGTATTTGACTTAGTGGGAAGCTTTTCTCAATTATTTTTGCTAAATGTCAACCCATCGAGGACTATAGGATGGTGAATTTACTTTTCTCTTCAGGACCAGAACACCATTGCATTCCCAGTGTCCAGGGTGACATCGTCGTCGAGTGAGGAAAATGTTACCATCTCCACCGGCAGTGCATCCACTGTGAACAGCTCAACTTCTTCTCCAAGTAAATCCAACAGCTCAAGGGGTGTCCCTGTTTTCTCCCAGTTACCGTTCTGTCAGTCGCAGTGCAGTATTGTTCACATTGACGGAACACCATGTGGTGCAGTCGCTGAGAACAAGTACGGCACCGTTTTTTATCTGCATCTAATATCTCGCCCACTGTAAAAATTTGTTATTTTTATGCCTGTGTGGAATTCGTGAACAAAATTTAGCAGTCAAGATTGAACCAACCAACAGCCGTTACAGGTATAAGTTGACGTCTCCCGCAACTCCAGAATTTGTATTTAAAGTTGGCTTCTGAGTTTTCAAGGTTTTGAGTTTTTCAAGTTTACTCCTTGAAACAAAAGTTTCTTAAATTTATCTTTCGCCTAAGTGAGAGAAGTCTTGAAGCAAGTAATCTCAATGAGCACGAGACCGTCTCCATGGCGTATTAGTTTTGAGGAAGAGGGAACAATTAAGAATGAAATTGAAAATGTTGTTTGTTTAGGGGGGGGGGGAGGGGTTTGTTCGTCATAGTCTACTGTAAACTTCTACAATTGGCACTTTGTATTTTGGATTCCAGTCAATTCGTGCAGTTAACTTTTCGCAATTTGCACCACAGATACTGTCCATATCATCAACGAGTGTTTAAAAGGGAAGAGGGAAATACCAATCAGCAAAATCGTGGCGCGAGAGGGAACCAGTGCAAGGGAAATGAGGGTGAGTCTGATTCGTTAAGGAAGATTGTGGATGATCGCCAAAATGGTGCGCAAATCTTTAGACCAATAACTCCCCCATGTCATCCGCCGCAGCGTCTTGGTTTGGACGGTGGTAAGATCCATGATAAACAGGACAACAACCGAAGTGAGGGCGGCAGGAATGCTCCGACGAGGTCTAGAGAAAACGATCTTAATTCAGAGGTGCCCCACGCAGAGTCCCGAGTCTCACGTGACCCTGTTGGAACAATTGATCTCAACTCTACTGTTCAAGGAGTGCCAAGGACCTTATTTCCACACGAGTCTTTGGCAAATGGAAGGAGTGGACCAAACATTGACTCGAGCGATAGGGTACCGACGAAGCCTCTGGGTATCACACTGGAAGCTGCAACAACGTCAGATACCGGTATTGATTTGAGTGGCACTGTGCCGAACCTTGAAGAGTTACTTGCGCTTCATGGATCTTCGGCAGATGAAACCGATGGTCCAAAAATTGATCTTTACAAAACTGGACCGAAGCATGATCAATCTTGGAACCAACAGCGATTGAAAGCTAATACAAGGCCAACAGTCGATCCTAGTTTAACTGCACCTTACCATGGTGCGGCAGTGGGTGGATCGTCTAATGCAGCTAATAGTGACCTGAATGAGACCATAGCCCTGACAGGAAGTTCACGAGCACCTCTGGATAGCTTGAGGCACAAAAATCATCAAGCGGCAGAGGACGACAGACTTGGACATCCGTCTGGTGCAAGTATGCTTCCGAACTCAAATGCTGACACGGAAATGATTGATTTGAACTTAAGCACCAAGCTTCTCGGGGTTCCTCATTCCGTTGTAAATCCTTTCAATACTAGACCAGATAGAGAAATGTCCAAATCGCCGTCCGAACTTTCCACTAAATCCTCCCAATTAGCTTCTCGCATCCATTCTCCATCACCTCAAGGCTCAAACGTTTGTACGTCACCTCTGTTACGTGGTCAGTCTCCATCTCCTACGATTTCGCTTCCAAATTATTCTCTTGATCTGTCAAGGTTTAATCTTCCTCCAGCAGTCCGCAAAGCTTTAGCTGATCGTTACAATAGCAAAAAAGTGTTGAGTGCTGCCAGTGGCTCAACGGTTGAGTCTTCTGATGGTCGTAGATCTCATCCACTGTTCACAGACTCAACAAGAACTGATGATCAGATTGATAAAGGGAGAAAATTATCTCCCTTACCTGCGAGACTTCGCAGTAGAGGGCAAAGGAGTGTTAGTTTAGACTCGCCTTTGGTTAGGAAAGAAAATTTGCACGGAGAAGGCTCTTCACGAGCAGCATTTCTTGAACGAGGAAACTTTTGTGATAAGAATCGGTTTCTCAATAGGCCTTCAAGCGAGACAAGCGAAGGACGTGAAAAGACTAGTTTGATTTCATCAGGCCATAATATAGGAGGCTTGTTCAAAAGGTCAGGTGTTATGTTACCCTCAACGAATGCATTACCTTTAGGTACACAAGCTGCTACTGCAAAAGAGGATACAAATGAACTTCATCGTCGAGGGCTTATTGATTTGAGCTCGACCTCATACTTCGAAGAAATACCAGGGACTTCTGTCAACCAGGGTAGATCACTGGCAGCGACCAGACCTACTATTGATAATTCAAAGTCACCTTTCAGACCTTCAGTACTTCAAGATCGAGGCCTGATCGATTTAAATACCAGCATGGAGCTTGGCATTAGGGAGGCAGCCAGTCCAGGGACCCTTTCAGTAATAAAGCGTAAGCGAGTAAATTCCACAGAAGGATCTGAAAGTTCCTCAAGTTCATCAAGTGAACAGCTGATTAAACGACTGAAACAAGAACAAGCGATTGCTAAAGAGAACACTGCAGCCACCTACCGGCCAGGAATAAATGTTCAAGAACTACTGACGATCGAACGAGAAGAGCAAAATCAGCTGCAGAATTTGCATGCAGTGCAATCAAGATTAAAATCTGTTCGCTCGCATATTCAGAAATTATGTACGGAACTGGATTCTCTTAGCAGTGAGGAACAAAAAATTACTCTCAAGATGGGAGAGCTACGTAATCAGAGACTGAGTATTCTCGAAAATGCTTGTTACGAAAGGCAAGTGCCAACGACTAGGACTGAAATAGTAACGAGAGAACTTAGTGTATCTACCGCTGATGGTAAGGAATCATTGTCTTTTTCTTCTGAGTCTGGTAAAAGTGACACCTCAAACCTTAGTTATTCTGCTTGGCAAAATAAATGTCAGGACAATGTTTCAGTCGTCAAAGATAAGATTCATCGGGGGCCTTATAACAAGGAGGCGGAAGAGGAGGTTTATAGCAGTGACAATACTTCCCGTGCCAGAGACAAAGAACCCTTGCTAAATGAAAGTAATTTTAGCGGTGGACGTATTGGGACTGCAACTAACTTTGTTTCGACAGGCGAAATTCACCGCCAAAAACTACCTCATCAAAAAGTTTTAAAGAAGCTTAACGTCGCGAAGCAAGCGGAATCATCAAAACAAGAGATCAGTTTTATTGAAGGGGCTAAGAATATCATATCGTCAGGGGTTCAAATAAGCGTTAAAGCTGCGTGCAGTGAACCTGCCGAAGAGACCTCGGACATGCATAAAAAAAGTGACACCAACAGTTTTGGCATAGATCTTGGGCTTGGTGCCGTTCGTGGTTCAGGAAACCTTGGGAATGCACCTATGCATAATCCAAGTGGAGCAAACAACGACAACGAAGCGAGAGAAGGTCTTGTGAAGAAAGTGAAACCAATTTATCATCCAGAGAAAGCGCCATTTAGGAAAAAGAGCAGTTCAGATGTTAGTATCTCCAAGACCTTTGAGGCGAATAGAAAGAAAATACAGTCAGTGCGAGAAAACATGGAGCGCTGGAAATGTCAAGAGGAAAGTGAAGGTTTGCGTGAATCAAATGATAACGAAACTAAAAAACAGACCAGCTCGTCCAGGTCACAAAGTGCAGAGAATCACCATAATTCAAATATAGTGGAGGAGGAATGTTTACCTCGTAAATTGGTTATTCACGAAAAGAACGCGTCCAGAAAGACGACGAAAGAGCTGAAAAAATCAAGTCTCTTCCAATCGAAGAAGAAAAACCCCAAGGAGGTACAAAAAAACAAATTGAACAAAACGCAACTTAGAGAGAAAGAGAAAGCCAATAAAACTGACGCTATTCCTGTCAAACGACGTAAGATGGCGGACACTTCGTGCAACAAATCCTCCACCTTTCCATTGAAGGAGAAACCTGTATCCAAAATTAAGAATCAAGTTGGGAGTGCCGCGGCTCACACGACCACAACTGACCTGGAAGGACCTGGATCCGAAGAAAGAAGCCACACGGAAGATGAAATTCCAACACGAGATGTGGTAAGTGCCTCGTGTTAAAATGAATGAGTCGTTACTGATCTTGGGCGTGCTTACCCGGCTCTACATAACTGTTGTGTGTGTGCTTGGTACGATAATTTTATAGTTTCTCTTTCCACCCAGAGTTATGGGTGGATTCAGAGAGACTAATCCAAAAGCTTGGGTAACCTGCGATGGACCAGTGTTCCATCCAAGCCTGGCACGCAATATTGATTTTTCTCCATTCCACGGAACCGTTACAAGGAATCATATGAAAGCTGTGCATTTTGTATTTACTTTTTTTTCAGGATAGCCAGTCAGGGAATATGAAATCCAGCCGTCCTAGTCATCTAAAAATTCCTTCCTCAACTGTTGAGTCGCTTAAGAAGAGTTTGCAGAACCCAAAAGGTTTGTGTAAGTTCAAAGACACCGTGTTTCTCGATCTCCATGTCCGTGTACCTTGTTTTACTTGCGTTATCTTTTTAATGCTGAAATAAATGGATTCTGTGCTATAGCTTTACACGCTTAAAGTGTAATCTCCAAATAGAGTAGTTCCGCAGCACTTAAACGGGAATTCCCCAAATAGGTGTCCTTTCAATGAAGGTGACAGAAACAAAGGCAGTAAGGGAACGTTTTACAGAACCAGAGTTTGTGTCCCGTGAATATCGGTGCTCCAACGAATTGCTTCCTCTGAATTTACTTTAACGCAACGATTTTGGGTGTCGTTTAAACTTCCAACATTCATTTACTTCTTTGAAGCAAGCTGCACAGATGCAGTACACGTTCGTAACTGCTTTGTATGAATACTTTCTCAGATGGGAGATTCCGTGGTGTACTGGCGACCAAGTTTCCCGGACACACTGGAGCTGTCTGCGGGTTAAGGGTGAGATATCTCGCATTTTTTTCGCACGGTTGCCTTTGTAGGGGAGGACAGGGATGCTCTAGTCCGGTGGACCGTTAAAAATCTGAGACAATGCCAATCATGTTTTGCTACCAGTTTAATTCTGGTAGGAAACATTTTAAAGGAAATCTGGTTTGTTTCCTACTTATTGACACTTTGTTACAGAGACAGTAAATCTTTGTTATTACGTACAAAATATGCGAGATGAGATTCATTTTGAAAGGCCCTTGAATACATACTTGTTTTTATGAAAAGTAATAACTCCTTTCTAACTGAGCGCGGGTCGAAATGGGGAATAGTAGCCTAAAGTTGGGGTAGTACGGAAAGAGCACAGTAGGGTCCGCACCAAAGCGACCGAAGGTCAATATTGCTCGGTAGGGCTCGAACAAGCGATGTTCTTAATTATTTTTACTTTATATCATTTGGACGGACTGAATTTACCGGCTTTCGAGACCGAGTACAGCAAGGTCCGTGTATCATGACCGAGAACCAAATATTTTCCAAATTCAGTCAATCAGCATTTTATCTGACGTGTTATCATGTGACCACTAAATTACGGGAATAATGTTTCAACGTAAATGCGATAGACGGGCGTACGCAGGACATCCATAAAAAAGGTTCTACAATTATTACTTTTCCTTTGTTTTTTGAGTGTAACAATATAATACGAACGACTTCTTCGCTCACAACGAAGTCTGCCGAGTTTTACCCGATATTCCTCGCTTTCGGCTTTTGTCTGTTTCGGAACTTCTTCGGACGTTCAACGTTCGCTGACGATTTCTTCGGATCGCTTCGGATGTTACTCGGAATTGGTACGTGATCATACGGTTTCCCGATGTTACTTATTGTTTGTTCCGCACTACATAAGAAAATTATAGCGGGGCTCGCACGCGCGCGAAGCAGAGCCCCATACCCAGGGAATATGGTCAACCTCTTTTCGTTTGGTTGTCACGTGACTTACTGAGCGTACGTACGTACGTACGTACGTGCCTTCAGATTGCACGGGTAGGGTAGGGGAGACTATCAAAATGAAGGGAGGGGTGTCTCAGGTGAGTCTTGGCAAATACACATCTTTTATGTTATCATTAATATTACAAATTTGGGAGCTCCGCTTTTAGGCTTGGTTAAATCTATATATTAAACATCTCACAATGATTTCAGGATGGCGTTTGAAAAAACAAAGCTTAACCTTGCAGAAATGTTTTGAAAGGAGTGATCGGCGCATGATAGAAACTTGCCGTGACACTAGAAAAGATGATAAACATCTCAAAATAGATTCACAGTGGCGTCTCCGGCACGAAATTGAAAAAAGACTTTTCCTCTCAGAAATAACTAAATAAGTTTGATCTGCACATCGTGGAAACTTTAAAGAATAATAATATATATTCAAATAGAGAACACGTTGCAATTTCAATCAGCTACAAATGCTCAAAAGGGCTAAATTGGCGAAGCGGGCAAGGTCCGAAATACGATACCCCGAGTTTAGAGTGACCCTATGGAACGGCGGTATGGTGGAATAACTCACAACGCGGAATGCCTTGTTGTATGAAACAAAAGTCTCACAAAAATGGAATTACAATAAAATAAGAACGCAATTTGTAATTTACTGGTAAAATCAAAGTTAAAATTAAAAGAAGCCTAGTTTGATCATTATTGGAGCCTAGAGAATAGACCGATAGAGGAACAGTGGGGTTCTTGAGCTAGCCCCAATAAGTTATCATTATTAGTACTATTGCTATCATTATTATTATTATTGTCATTATTAATATTATTATTATTATCTAATTTGTAAATAACGAGATGAATGGTTTGAAATTGTAAATAATTGCTTTATTAATAAAATGGAGGATTTGTTATTGTTATTATTATTATTATTATTATTATTATTATTAGTGTTAATATGATTATTTGTCACCATTTAATTTTTGGTGGTTGAGTGTCAATTAGTCAGTATATTCTTGAATCATCTTTCTTTTGTGGATCAAGCCTGACCCATGAATATGTGGGATGCGGCAGAAGTAGCCATATGCAGTCTTAGCGGCCAATTTTTTTTTTCTTGGTCTTTTTTTTTTCCTTCAAGGTTTTTGCAACAGAACTGGGTGAGGGCGGGGCAAGACAACCTTTTCAGGACCGGCTCAGGACAACCCGTCCGGTCCTACATACGTCGGGTTTCACTAGGTTTTCTATGGGATTGTGGGCACAGGGCCAGTCGGGTCATTTGATAAATGTTCTTTCTGAGTCAAGGGATTGAGTAATTACCACAAACGACGGTTGTGAACTAAGAATTAAGAGTGTGTCTTATTTCAAGGTGTGGAGGCGCGGTTGCCTCATGATTGGTGCGCTTGACTCCGGATCGAGTGGTCCGGGTTCGAGCCCCGGCCGGGGACATTGTGTTGTGTTCTGAGGCAAGACACTTTACTCTCACTGTCCCTCTCTCCACCCAGGTGTTTACATGGGTACCGGCAATTTAATGCTGGGAGTAACCTTGCGATGGACTGGAATCCCATCCAGGGGTTTTAGAAATACTCCTAGTCGCTTCATGCTACGGAGTTAAGCACCGGCCTAATGCGCCACTAGGTTCGTAAACAGACTTTACCTTACCTTATTTCTAGGTACACAATGGCTATCTGTTTACTTGTTCCACCGATAAAACTACGAGATCATTCAACATTCAGGTGAGTTGGTCCTTCCCTTGTTTGATCGTGTGTCAATAAAATCGGTCGTGGCTCTATAAATTTGCTCATTGAATTCCTTCTTTGAGCTTTATCTTTTAATTTGTCACTTTAGACAGGGGAATGTGTCAAAATGTATCAAGGGCATCACCTAGCTGTCAACTGCATTGAGGTTTGTATACATGTGGCTCTTAAGTCTCTCTTGTACATCATGTTTTTCCGATTGTCGCAGATAAATAAGGAACCTTAGTGAAGTGAAGTTCCATCACCAAAAACTGGCGTGGGAAACTTATGAATACGTGACACATCCATGATCAGTTACCTGCGCGTCCAAATTTTTTACTTCGGTGCTTCACCGTGGATTGAATAAGCTATTGAAAGAGTGTGTGACTTTCAAAATGAGCCGCTGTTTATGAATCCTTTCTTACCTCTTCAAGACTTGAACAATAACATTTCTAGGGAAAATTACAAGGTAGCGTTTTAGGATGTGACAAGCTCTGTTTATCTTGGTGATAACGCTTACTGTGGACTGGTTGTGTTATGTGTTATTGCTATTCTGAGACGCCCGAAATACTAAATAACCATAAGCTTCCTTTTCTCACAATAGGTTTCTGCGGACAACGACAGATTATTCACCGGATCCAATGACCAAACTGTCAGGAGCTACAACATAAAGGTAACGAACTATGTCCTTTATTACGATGAAATAAGCCGGATCACTACTCGTTTTCTGTGAAGTAGTTGGGCCAAAAGGTTATTAGTGGCCTCAACTAGGTTTGTCTCGAATAAATTGGGGAGCGAGATTTTACCAAGCAGGGCAGTATTGCTTTCCTTACATGTTTTGCGCCCTACCAAATCAATAAGGCTGTAGGAGACGAGGCAGACAACCATTCTCCCAAATTCTCAACTCAGTGTTGTATTTGATTGTTTTATTTGCTTTTAGAGTGGCAACTGCACCCACAGGTTTACTTTTGATGGTCGTGTTATGTGTCTTCAAGCCGCTTTTGATCTTCTGTTTGTTGGACTCAGTACTGGTGTTGTAGCCTCCATCGACTTGGTGGTAAGACTCGGGAATAGAGCGTAGTACACGCTGGACTTCCATTTTTGTTTTTGAAACTAAACTGTAACTAAATTTATTTGAGCGTTTTAGTTAGATAGATATCATAGCTGGAGACACAAAATAAGTATAAAGCTAAATCTGCTCGGTAACCAAAAGAGAGCTCTAGAACTATTACAAGTACACCACCTTTCCTCCTCTGAAACTCTCCTTGCAACTATGTTTGGTCACAGTACTGTCAGCTTTTCACGATATTCGTATTCTCCGCGACTTTCTACCCAGTAAATTGGCAGCCACCCACGAGTTACAGAGTCGTCGGCTTCTGGTTTTAAGTTCATCCTGAAGTCGTCACAGACGCTTTTATGAGAAGGCTCGTTTATGATGATCGGAGAGCTCATTTCATTTTCTTCCATCTCCAAGCGATCTTTGTGGATTGGAACCCAATTGAGAAGGAACATGATGGCTGTCGCAATAATGGTTACAGCGCTAGTGACGTAAAAAGAAACACTGTAGTCATTGGACAAGTCAAAAAGCCAACCAGCGATTGGTGGGCCAAGGGTTTTTGGAAACGCTATTATACAGTAAAGCAAACCAATGGCGTGCGCTACTCTGCGAGGGCCTGCGATATCTCGCGTGATCACGGGAACAAGCATTTCGTAGCATCCATCAAAAACGCCAAAAGTGAACGCGTACACGCAAATCCAGATGTATTTAGCTGCCATGGTGACAAGGGAGGATGAAATAGCCATGAGAAAGAGAGAGAGCTGGCAGACCTTAAGGCGGTTAAATCGCGGGAGATCGCACGCAATACCAAACGCGATACTTCCTGTAAGTCCTCCAAATGCCATATAGCCTGTTAGAAGAGAGGCTTTGGTACTGCTGATTCCTTTGTCCTCTGTAAATCGAACCTAAACAAAAAAAGGAACAGATCAGGAGATTGACAAAGGGAAAGGTATCAAACGAAATTAAAACATCAATGTTCTCTACCAACTGAGAGCAATTTCTTGGAATTAGAGCCTTTTAGTGGAGAACAAATTCAGCTGTCCACTTAACTTACCAAATGAACGAAAGGCACGAGAAACACGAGCATGAATACACAAAGCGCAGCAACCAAGATGACGTACGCTTTGTTCTTGAAAATGTTGTCGTTGTCTGCTCTTTGTCTTTCTCGACAGGCTTTATGGCCCTCCACAGGTCGAAACATCAATCCGCTTATAAACATTAAACTCTGAACGGCGGCGAGAATCCGGAATGTTACTGAAATCCCATACGTTGATGCAAGGAATTGTATTACGGGTCCATATACAAGGGTCCCACACGCCGCACCCGCCAGAGCTATCCCAGATGCGAGGGCCAAGCGCTTTCTGAAGTACTTTGTAAGTATCACGAGCGAGGGAAATAAGCCCAGACTTGCTCCCAGACCCCATATAATTCCGTAGGTTCCATACAGGGGTGTAAGCGTTGGTGCGAAGGAACTGGCAAGGAGGCCTGAGGCTGAGACGAAAGATCCAACGATGACAATCAGTCGGCTCCCGAAGCGTTCGGCGAGAGAGGTGCCCACAGCAGCGAACAGATACATCATACTGGACGCAAGCGAGGCAACCCAAGCTGTTGAGAAATAAGATAAGCTAGTTACTGAATCGGAAAACCTTTTCCATAAGGAAAGAGAGTTTTGTACTTATGTTTTTTTTTACTTCAACCCTTTCATGCCGTTGAAAGGAATAGTGTAAAGGTTTTGCAATTGATAAAGGGCTATGCTTGTTAGGCCACTTTGCGCTTCAAAGATGTGAACGAGGGAATGATACGATAGACCTGGTAGGAGTGATGCAGGCCTGGTAAAAAAAAAAACAACAACAACAACGATAAAAGAGCAACATGACGGATTTGGAGACATTTTAATCAGGCCTTTAAACAAAGCTGCTCATACTTACCAATCATAAAACAATCTTTTAAATACACATGTAATTCTTAATCTGATTGGATAAAGCCAACAGACCATGAAGGGAAATCGTAACGAGTAAAACTCGGTTCAATTCAAAGCGAGCTTTTACAATAACTGTCACGATTATTTCTAAACGACTTTCAAATATTCACATGTACTGTGTACGTCACATAGCCCAAAGACGTGTCTCTGAAACGGAAGCTTCTGCTTATACGAGAGTAGAAAGTAAAGTTGACGTCATGTCTTGCGTTGCGCAAAAACTATCAGAATATTACAGAGGACCTTGAAAAAAAATTCCAAGTCGCCTTTTGGCGACTATCAGAGAAAAAACGATCGCCAACTGCAAAAATGCAGTCGCCAGATAGTACAAGAACAGAAATCAGATTAGAGCCTTATTCAATTGGCGTTGTTGTTCGGCTTCTGGTGGATTGTGGCTGCGATTGTAGGGTAGACCGAAATACTCGATCTTGAATGACTTAAGACATGAAAACACAAAAGAAGAAACTCCGAAAGACTTTTGCTGACAATCTTACCTTAAGCAGTAAGCGAAAAAAGTAATAAGAACATTTCAGGGCTACTTTAGCAAGAAAAATATGTCGCATCGCATGCAAGAAATCGTACGATACGAAGGCATCAAACATTTATCAAACATGGCGGATAGGCATTTAGTACCAGACCTCCTGTTCTCAACGGATTAATTTTAAATTCAGAAGCTTTTCAACAAAATATTGCGCCCGCGATCACCATGAAGAAGCCACCGTAATATGTCTTCTCGGAAGACGCAATTTGAAAGCCATATCAAGCTTTAGCTTAAAGGTTAACAGACTTAATTTGCTTTTCCTTGGGCAGAAACGCAGAAACGAGACCTAAGAAATTTTTCTCCTCTACAATCTTTTATTTATCTGAGGAAGTTAGTTTAGTCGCCAAAGTGGCGACTAAACTCGAACTTTTAGTCGCCAAGTTAAAAGTTTTAGTCGCATTAGCGACCGTATCGGTCGCAATTTCGAGCCCTGACTGAACGTCAAAATAGGGAAGAAAACCACAAAACTTTGTATTACGCACAAGTCCCTTCTATTTACAAAACATGACGCTATCGACATTGCCGATGAAAGCAGTATGCAGGACGCGTGCCATATATGGACCTTGCTCACTATAGAGCATCGGAGCGCAGAATGCGACGGTCTGAGGTTCGATTCCTCACAGGGAGTCAAAATGTTTTCTTTGTTCCACGCTCGCGACAAGACGAAAACCATCTTTCACTACATCCCTTCTTTATTTACATTTTCAGTTTCCGTTTTCGGAGAATCGTTTTGAAAAAAGTAAAACAAACTGTGACTAGATTACGTTTTCAAGAATCTGAACTTGCAGTTTAGTTTAATCTGCAAGCCACTCTACCTGTTTCTCCTCTTTTTGTGGAATATTCATTCAAAAGCGCCGAGTACACTACACCAGTTGCATTCTGCTGTCCGACTGTCAAGAAATTCACCATCCATGCTCCAAGACAAACCACCCATCCCCACCCTCCATCGGGCGGAAGTTTGTGATGTGCTTGATTCACAGTATCTGCTGGCTGATCGTCTTCCTCCAAAACTTCGTCGCACTTCTCTTCTGAAGTCATGTCCGACAAGGAACTCATATTTCTCCTCCTGAGGACAGGGAAAGTGCTTCCCTGTTCACCTGAAGCGCTTTGTCCCAAACTGTGCAGTAGTTATTTGGCTGTCACGTGTCTACTGTGCTGGAATAAATAGAACAGAATCATGTAAACAGCTTGATAAAAAAGCATGAATTCCCCATTTCAAAAACGAGTGGGGGAGTGGGTCGAGTTCGCGGCGCAAGTTTGTCCGGGATCGTTACTTGGGACACAAATCTTTGTTTGCAATAGATTTTGTGTCCCGAGTAACGATCCCAGACTAACCTGCGCGGCGAAGTCGACCCACTCCCCCACTCGTTTTTGAAATGGGAATAGATGGATAGTCTTCGATCAGAGTGTAGTTGCTTCTCTATTTTGTTCCTTTTGCTTGTTTGTCAAAAGCTTACCTCAAGCATAATTCAATAATTTAAAAGAAAAAAACACAAAAGAGACATAACAAATCAACGACAAACCACCAATGTTATTTCCTTCTTTTTTTTTTAAAGATGACTGTGACAGTTCCTGGGGAAATTTTTCCAAACAAGGCAAATACTCACTCATTTTGAACAGTGATCTCCATGATGAACATTAAAACACAACGGAAAGATCGAGTTTCATTTTTTACTTGTTGACTTAGTCGAGTCAGCAGTATGGGAAAAATGCGTGTATAATTTTCTCGGCTGCTCAAATTTTCAAGGCAACCCCGACTTCCCTCTCCCCAACCGTTCACTTTAACTCTAAATCGAAAATGACAGGTGGAATAAACAATTGCGAGCGTGTAACGTTTATGCGCCCTAAATAGATGCCTGCAATGCACTACACTGTTTTGCAAATGAGATTTAAGTTATTCGCATATAGACTAATCCATCTCGTAATTTTTTTCCAACTCTACCTAGGTAGTTAAACCGTTTATCAGTTGGATTTCCTATTTATGTTTAGGATGTTCTACCGTTCGTTATTTGGCTACGCCATTCTTTCTTTAGCTATACCGTTCCCAGACTACAAGCAGTCCCTCCTTTTCGGCGAAGTTCGTCGCGCGAGCCAAAATAAGTCAGTGAAAAAAGTTTGTTGTTAGCGCGCTACGGGGAACTCTTGAAGTGACGCCGATGCACCACAGGAGCTCCATGAAGCTCCCGCGCTAACATCACCAATATTTTTTCACTCGCGCGAAGGACTTCGCCGAAAAGGTGGGACTGCTCGTGATCCATACCGTTCTGTAACTGATCCTTAGACGATCTTTATGTTTGCTGATTTTTTTGACATCCGATGTATTTTTGGTGGTGACAGCCACCCATAGAAGGGACTACGGTATCTAAACTAGTGGAAAACGTATCAGTTTAGAATATCTAGGGGCAACCGTTACCGCCAAAAATACATACAATGTAAATGGCTTAGAATAAAAAGAATAATGTACATGGTAATCATGGACATGTAATCATGGACAATTCCTCTAAATTGGGGTCAAATGGTAAAAAATTAATGGTTTAATCAGTTTAGAAACTATATAGTTCCCCTGACCCTGTTCTATAAAATTAGGAACAATCGAGTCTCATCTAAAAAAGTTCAGCCTAAGATAAAAAATTCAATGCAGTTCACGTAGCACTGGACAACCGCTATGAAAGACTATGGTTTGCCAGTTCAAGATGACAAAGTTGAATCGATTTTGGGCGGTAACAGCTGCCGTGAATATTACCTAATCTTGAAAACTGAAAGGTTTGAACGATTTTTCGTGCTAATTATTGTCTCTTTATTGCCAGAATAACATATGCCAAGAGCGCCTCCATTGCCATGAGCCCCGTGGAGTTAGCTGTCTTGCAACAGCTACTGAAGGACAGCGAAAGCTTTTGTGCTCTGGTTCATTTGATTCAACTATTGCTATCAGAGATTGCAAGGTATTTTTTCTAACTGTTGAATATAAACTTTGAATGTGAAATCTATACTTACGGATGACTTTAACTGCCTTCTGGTTGCAAATTTATTTGAGCAGGGCTTTGCTTTATAGCACATTGAAAAACAAACGAAGTCACTTTCCCTGTCCTAACATCTTTCTTAGCGACATTTCTTTGTTCAACATCAACGCCATATGAAATTAAGTCATTGGTACCTACTACTTCAACTGCTTTTAAAAAGATTTAAGGAGAAATCTCCGCTTTCCATGTAATCACAAAACAAGCTCTATATGTGAAGTCACAAAAATCAATGATTCAAAGACTTTGTTTAACAATGTCACCCCCAAGATCTCATCAGTAATTCTCCTCAGTCTCTGCCATACAATTCCTATAATGTTTCCTCTGAGAATTTGGTTCTGGATCAACCAATAATCCCTTTGATATTTAACTATATTCTAATCCCTTTTCTGCTTGATGTTGTATTGATACTGTATGGAGAAATTCTGCCTTGGTCACTCATTGGAGTTAAGGGTTAAAGGACAAGAGAATAACGGAAACAATGGCCAACTAAAGAAGCACCTGATTGTGAAACAATTTATTCCTGTTAATGCCAAAGAAATGTATGGAGGACAAAATAGAGAAAATGCATTTTGATGTTAGGGTATTGAAGTTAAAGAGGGCATAACTCGTAGCAGTTGTAAGAAGTGATGGTTCTTTGGCCCTTTATAAAATGAACTACGGGAAAAAGAGAACTTTGGTTTCGCTATGTCTTGGACAAAGGTCCTATTTGCAGTAAAAGGAATATTGCTCAAAGAGTAGGTTATTTCACTCACTTTGTTTTCGATTCTAATTTCGCAATGCAGAACATTGAATTATTTATGATAAGAACTGTCATTGACGTATTTGTCATTCTGTTTTTCTCAGACTGGTCTTCTCGTTCGGACACTCTATGATCACAGCATGACTGTTTTATGTATTCAGGTTTGTTTTAGATTGTTTAATCGTCTTTTTTTTTTCCTCTGGTTTTTATGTTTCTGCTCTGCCCTCGCTAACATGGTCAGTGACAGTTAAAACTGTGTGATCTTCCGAGGCATTTCGAGTTTTTACTCTCGGTCCCTTTATATTTTTCTGTAGACCAGCACCCTTTGAACAGTTTTAGGCCATAAGTGGAAAGAACATTTTTAAAGGATATCACTTCACAGCTATCTCTTTCTATCCCCCTAGGTTGTGGAGAATATTTTATACAGTGGATCTGCTGATATGAAAGTTCAGGCTCATAACTTGAATGTAAGTTAGGGCTTATTGGAGGGGGGTGGCAAATTAGAGGGGGGGCTTATTAGAAGGGGGTGGCTTATTAGAGGGGGGTGGCTTATTAGAGGGTTTATGGTACATGCAAATTGAACTCATTTTCGCGAGAATGGTTGAGTACCAGGCCTCGTTTTGAAAAAGAGGCCAAGGCTAATTCGAAGATGGTCTAATACGTCATTTCTGATAAATTAATATCCTTGGGGTATTTTCTTACGAAGTATCCATTCGCTGTGATAAATTGAACTTGAATTTGTCTCTAGTTTGAAAAAAGAAAGCTGTAAGAAAGACCGACTAACATTTGATATTATTTCATTTTCAGACTGGAGAGCTTCTGAGAAGCTTCGACGGTCATCCAATGAGTGTCAGCGGACTTCAAATTATCGGCAATGTTTTAGTGACGTCATGTTTGGATAAACTTATTCGTTGCTATGACCTCACAGTAAGTTCAAAAAGCCGTCAGTTTCATGTGTAAAAATTTTCGTGTGTTAAAAGTTATTTTGTCCTTCAAGGTCGAAAAAATCGCCAAGAGTTTCAGTAGATGATAAACCAGTTCACTGCACGGCGCAAGCTGAAAGAGCGAGCGAGACTCGCCCAAAAGGGACTAGAATGAAGCAGTGCTCTTTACCAGAGTTCACAGCTGTTCTTATATCTAATTTTTATCTATATTTGTCTTTGTATTTATCAGTCGGCAGATCTTCTTCAAGTGTATGGTGGTCAGATGGACATGATTTTCTCAGTACACGTTAACAATGGAAGGGTAAATTAAAAAAACAGCTTTTTGTGTTGTATTATTATTTTCTTTTTACCCAGATGTTTTGCTTTGATTGAATTCCAATTTCAGAACAAATCATCTACGCCGTATCATGTGAACGATACTTTATTTTGTTAGCCTTTTAATGTAAGGTTCTTTCTCAAGAAAAACCGCTAGCCAACAGGTACTTAAAGGCCTTTTGAGAAATGCGGAAAGATTCCTAGGATCTAGCACTCTATGCAAATTCATGGCTTCATTTTGAATTTCTTTCCAACAGATTTACAGCGGAGCACGTGATGGGTCTGTTGTGGCTGTAAAACTGGATTTACGTGTTTACCATGCTTGCAAGGTACAATAATAAATCAATCCTTTGGCTTGTGCTCAAGAAAACTGATTACAGCATTTTCAATGTTACGTGGTCAAATGCAAGGTTTCAAGGTGTTACCAATAACTTCTTTCTCTTCTTATTTTTTTACCGTTCTACTTCTTCTCTGTTTCAGTGGCGAGACTGTGATCTCAATTTTGGTGTAGTCACGCACCTTAAGAATCACCTTCGAGGTAAACACTAGAGACATTATGATTGCGTTTCCATGTGACAGACGACATAGAACCTGTTTGATCAACTGTAAGCCTTCTTGAATGAATAGTTGTTAAGTACAAGTCACGCGAGATAAATTATCGATAAAGACCGTAATTTTTTTTTCTTGAGATTCACGAGAACCAAAGGTTCTTTTCGGTCCCAACAAAATCAAATTTTAGCGCTATGTTCTGTTAACTTCTGTACATGCTAATATGCGCTGGATGTTTTGCTCCTCAGAACATCACGTCGTGGAAGAAGGCTCTGTTGAAGAGTGTCACTGGGCCGAGTGTGGACACGAGTTCTCAGCCGATGACGACATTTCGGTAAGTTGACTTATATTTCAATGCTAGGAACGGATCGACGGACGGAAGGACGAGCGGACCGAGCGACCCGATTGGTTGATTGATTTATTGACATACTCGAAGAAAACTTTACTTGCTAGTGTTTGCCAGTTTAACTTAGTGCAATATTAGATGAAAAGAAATACCAGTAAGAACTGGTTACAGCTTGGATTCATTACAGGGTTTACCTATTCAAGCTACGTCTATTTTTTGATAATCGTCTTTCATTGGATTGGATGAGAAACATATCAAAATGAAAACTCACCTGCAGTGTTGTTACAGGTGAACCCGCGATTTAAAACAAATATGAAAGATTTTAATTTATTTATATATTTTTTCTTGTCCTTAGACTGTTCTTAACCATGTGCTGGGTCATGTGGTAGCACGAACAGCCAGAAAATCAGTGAATTGAGCAATCAGCTTTCTTTTTTGTGTTTTTGTGACTTGTTTCTTAACTTGAAAACTGTATCATTACACGGTTTAACCCTAAAACCTCGTTTTATTGTCGAAGCAATGATATTTCGCTATTGCGAAGAAAAATTTTTAAATAAAAATGAGTTGAAAACGTGTCTGAGTGTTCGTGTTTTTCCAAGACATTTTAGTTGACCTTCAAGTCGCATTTCTGTAAATATTAACTCATAATCTTTTCAAAGAATTATCACCGGAGTAGAAAATGAAAAACGAACACTTGTTCCCCTTATTGAAAGCTCTACCGCGAGATACTTCTTTCACCAGGGCCACGCTAAATCAGCCATCACATATAAATAATGAGCAAAAAATCTCATCGTTTTAGTAGAGGCCTACCAGTCGTTTAAATCTTAGCTGCAAGACATGACAGGCTTGTGTTTTTTATTTTTCTTTGTTTTTAACCTAACACTGGTGGGCTACGCACTTTACTCAGACACTAGCGAGTGGCACAGCCAATTAAATTTCAGTATTTTTGATAGAACTTTAGTAGATTTAGTTCGGTGAACCAACTTAGCAAATTTTGAAAGGCGTTGATTTTGAGCCCAAATTGATAGAGGTTGAACCTGTGCATTAATGCTCTGGTAGTGCGACTGCTATTTGAGAAATAATTGTTTTGTGCTATGTTAAAAGGAATACTATAAGAATACTATAAGAATAAAAGGAATACTATAAGAATACTATAAGAATAACTGATTAAACAACCGTGAAACCTGTGACGTTTCATCAACATGCAACTTTTTTCCGGACGAAATTTGCAGGGACAAATCTAACATATCTAACTTCTAACATATCTAACTTATGCACTTATCAAGCTAATATTCATGCCCATAAGACAAGATCATCTTCAAGAGGCGACTATTTTGTTGAAAGTTTAAGATTAGATATACAAAAAAGGGCATTTTCAAGAAATGGTGTTAGAATCTGGAATAGCTTGTCTTGTGAAGTGCGCCAGCTATCAAATACAACTTTAAGAGTAAAATTCATGATTTCCTCCTCCAGAGACTCGAAAAATACGACGATTATATTGATTTGTCTACTTTCTACTTTAATAGCACAACTATAAGACCCCAGCTTGTTCTGTTTTCTTGCCGTATCTTAAATGTATTGATGTAGTTGTAATTTGTCTAGAATTTTGAATCTCTTGCTCTGTAAATCTTTTTAATTTATATTTATAATATACGTATTAAACACTGCCCGCCTCGACTAGCCTTTGCTAACTGCGGGCAGTGCATATTTTTTGTAATATTGTAATAGATCATATAATTAAACTCATGTATTCAAGGGACGAGCTTATTCTCGAAAAGGGGTCTTTAAAATCGATATTAAGATTGTAGGGTTTGAGGCAAAGCAAATAAATTTTTAAAACTAATAAAGTATTTTGCACTGCAATACCTTAATTTCCTTCATGGCATTTTTTCAGCAAAACAACCCCTTACCACCAGCAATAAAATTTGCATCTCACCTGTTTTTTGTCAGTCCCACATAAATAAAATCATCAGAATTAGTGTCTAATGCACAATTAAACGAACTTTCCTTGACCAGGTGCGTTTTAATTTTTGCGATATTGTATCTCTCTTTTTGCCATTTAGCTTATTTTTATTTTTCACGCGACTTGCACGTAGAGAAAGCTTGGTTTAAATCTTGATGCCTATGTTAATTTTACCTATGGAGCATTTTCTCAGACAGTTGGTCGTCACGGAGTTTTTCTTTTTTTAAAGTAATTATCAGCTATCGATTTATTCCGATTTCGTATACAATTAAAGAAAAGAAAAGGATATGCCTTTAACATACCTGCCTGATGTCTTGAAGACCAGCAATCAATGGCTTGATTTGGCGTCTTTTACAAGACGTGTGGTTGCGTCGAGTATCTTTATTATCATAATGTAAGTGACATAGTGATGAAGACCAATCGATAGGAGGTCTGGGCATTTGAGAATAATTTTCGCATAATATATAAAGTTCTTCTTCATAGACTAAGCCAAAAGGAATATCAGCATCTAGTTAGAGTATCAATTATGAGAACGAAAAGCGTTGCAATAGGCCCCTCTTCTGAAATGAAGTCGTATTCCGCTGCACATTACAATCAAATTGAAGAGCAAAATTAGTTTGTAACGAATTTCTACTAATGTAATCACACTGGACAACAATCTAGGGTATTATGATTAATGCTGTAATATCTCTCGTGGCATCTCGTGACAATCCCATTGCGTGACAATCAAAGCAAAAATCAATGCTCACTTTTTTTGGTAATTTTGTGAGCATTGCATCCGTGCGAGGTATACCTACGATTTGATTGCAGGTAAGCTTTCACTAGATTATCGTACAATTTATTCCTTCAATCGTTCGAAAGACTTCTCATTCGTGGTTCCGCCGCGTCGTCAAATTTCAACGTCTAATGACCTGTTGTGACATGGTGAGGAGTTACGCAATTTATTACTGGAGGTACCTACGTGCGGTGATTACAATATTAGATAAGAATGCTTGTCTAACGAAATTCTTTTATGTGCACATCCAAACAAGGCTTGAGTAATCTCTTTTACGGGCAAATTTTTTTGGCTGAAACTTGACGGTAAGTCTCTCCTCTACCCCCTAAGTTGAGTTGAGGAATCGCTTCAACACAAATTGGAATAACGGGCTGGGGAGAGCAACATTTGGATTTTCAGACGCTTGCACTTCAATTCCGTAAGTAAAGTAGGTCTGCAAGTAATCATGTAATCTGTTAGAGGTCAAATGCAAACTTGCTGGTTAGTTATGCCTAGTAAACATGGATCTCGTAATTGGAATTTCAACTTTGAGACATGAAATCCTCAACAATGGAAAGACGGAAAAAATAAAACTCAAGCAAGTTTCAAACGGGATTCAACCCATCCCGTGACGTGTGCGTGAACAAAAGAAATACGCTTCCTAAGAGAACCATAAAGTTAGTAGTAAGCATTGGAAAAAGTTGAAATCCTTCTATCATATTGTAACTATCTCGTAAGTCAAAGCGCAAAAGAATGAAGGTCGCATCACAATCCACTGTGACAGGTCGCCGCGACAGATCGCCGCGACAGATCGCCGCGACAGATCGCTTTGTGTGACTGCAGTTTAAGTCATCACGACGACTCGTGTCCACAGCAGGAACGGATGTTTTCGGTAAAAGTTGTTGTTTTGCTGGAGGCGGATGGGTGCTACAACCTTTCCCTGCGTGGTGTTATCGGAATTATTTCGCGACGCAGGCAACGAGCCAGCTCACCTAAATTTGCGAAGAACAAAACTATTGTTACCACGTCAAAGAACTTAAGTTGAATCTGGCCATATTGGAGTTCATTCTTGATATGTAGGTATACAGTGTTACATTACAGTCGTGATGCTGACACGACAATTATGGTAATTATGCATTCGAGGACTGTTGTTGACATTTATGTTTCTCAACTGCTATTACGTAAGTGAACAAGTTTCTGGTTGTGTCACCTCTTTTCCTCAACTTGAACGTTATTCATCTTAAAGATCTTTCTAAATCGTCAAGCAATCCCTTCTGATCTGTGAAATTACTCTTTGCTGTTCATTCAGACTAAAAAACAGTCAGAGAAACCTTTAGAATGGCATGCTACAATTTTGAAGAAAAGCCCGATGTTTCTACAGCGTCTTCAAAGCAGAAAGAGTTGGAAACAAATGACAATCATCCCCCTCCAGAGTCCCGAGGGAGAGTGCGGATGGGTCGTTTGTCTGGATGTGTTTGTTGTGAACTTCCTGACTGTTGGACGATAAAACTGCGCGGGAGTGGTATATGATGCTTTGATGGAAGAATATTCCACATCAAGAGGAGAAACAGGTAAAAAAATAGTATTATTCAGTCTTTTTCAGAGATCAGGATACTGTGTTGCAACCAACTTTCCTCAAGAGCTTTCCGAACCCAACCACAAGAATTCCCCGTCCCGAATCGTACTGCGAACATCCCGAAGGCGAAATCCCAATAGGCGCGCTACTATTGAAGATGAAAGAAGGAACTCGTTCGCTAATCGTTTTACACTCAACACTCAGAGGAATAACTTCGTTTCCCTTCACCCTAACCACTTGGCCACGCGCCTCCCAAACATCTCAACAACGTTTCGGATTCTTGCGGGTCTTCAAAGTTTGATGCTCTTAAGCGCCTTGACGTTTACCCCCGTCTCCTCGGTAACAAGGACAAATCAACCGCCACGTAACAGAGAAATGGACTTTCGTTTTTTCCGGAGCAAAGCGTATATTATCTGGGTTGTGGCGCAATGCGTCTTTATGGTAGTATTTCTTGTGCCCTTTGTCCATTTGGTCAGATAGTTTAATTTTTATAAAGAAACTTGATTTTGTGTTTTGTGAAGTTGTACATCTCGGGACATAACTTCTAATGTCACGGTTAAAATTCCATTTCCATGACGCGGTAAAGTTGAAGAGCGAGGGAGGAAGTTCAGCAAGCGAAGCGGCTGAAAGTGACCACTGGAAACAACGTTTTACGAGTCCAGGTCGGAGCTACTTACTTTTCAAATTTTATAACGAATGGGGGAAATGAAAATGGTCAACCAACATTAGTCTCTTTGTTCTGCTCCCCGTGCAAGTTTATGGCAACACAAATCTAATTAACCCCTTATGCTTTCTAGGTTATATTGCTGTGCAAGGTAATAGTGACTATTTGCGTTCTAGGCATGTGCCTTCACTCACTAACCACCTCTCTGATTGATCTTTTAGGTTCGCTTTGCAGAAGACTAAGGAGTAACGAAATCTAGAGCGTCTTTCCTGACGGGTTATGTAGCAGCTGGAGGTGTGCTTGGAAGTTTGGTGCTCGGTGCACTGTGTGATTACCCTCGCTTCAATCGCCTCAAAGTTTGTCCAGCTACCTTAATATGCATAGCTATTTCTACGCCAGCTGTAACCGCAGCAACGAGATACGAGTGGATAGCCTTGTACGCGTTCACGTTTGGTGTGTGCGACGGTTGTTACGAGTTGTTACTTCCCGTTATAACGCGTGACATTATTGGTAATTAAAATACGTTGGGGACGCGATAGGTGCTTTGTATTGTTTAATGGCGTTTCCCAAAACATTAGGCCCACCAAAGGTTGGATGGATTTTTGACGCCTCAAAAATTTACTGTGTATCGTTTTATGTCAGAGTCGGCTTGGCGTTGATTGCTGCGATTGTCATGTAGACCGTAAACTGGGTCAAGTTCAATGATGAGGATGAAGAGGGGATATAGGAAAGGTTACTCTCCTGCAACGAGACTCCAAGATCAAATCAGAGAATACAACACAGCTGACGTTTCGCGGCCGCGGGACTGATCCCGCGCTTGCTCATTAAAAGAGTTGCCCCAAGACTCCGCGTTGTGACTCTAATTACGAACGTACCGACAACTTTTTTGATTGGATGTCAACAACTGGAACGTATAATCTTCATGGGATCTTTGTATTTCTTTCCCTAACATATGTTGCAGAAAGTCTGCTCTGCCTGTGTTTGATTATTGTGTCTTGTTTTAACTCACTAGTAATTTTATTGTATTTAATTTGTATGACAACTGTACGTATCTTTTAGCTTATAATGTAGTAAACTAATGCATGGCTTATAACCCCAATAATATTGTAGTAATGAAATCTCTTTAGTTTATTATAAAATCTCTTTAGTTTATTGTGGTAATGAAATTTCAATGTGTAGTATTTACTTATTTATTACTAATACCCGCTAAGACTAGCTAATGCTACATGCGGGTTGTGTAAATTTGCTTCTAATGTTCTATAAAATAATAATAAACAAATAAAGTCTATAGGATCACAACAAATTAACGCGAAGCCTTTAAGGACCATTCATTACGCATCGCTTTGGGGAAGGGGGGCTGGAGGATTTTAGGGGGGGATCACATGATATTCGGGGGGAAAGGAGGGGGATCAGTCTTCGCCAACAGGGTATGAAGAGGGGACTATAGAAAATTGACCGCCAATTAACAAATGAGAGGGAATATAGGAACAAAGGAAAAATAAAGACCACTTCTAACTATCCTTTGTCATGTTAAACTATTAGGAAATTGTTTACCGATCAACTGCCAACGAGGAGGGGGGGAGCATCATAAGAATCTTACAGATCCTTATGGAGAGATCAGGTAAAATTTGTTATGACTCAACCAAAATCCTCAGAACCCCACCCCCCTCCCCCTCCAAACGATTTATAATGACCGGTCCCTTTGTGGTAGTGTTTTCCTTGCATGACTTTTAGCAGTGTGTTTAGTGGTGGTCGGAAGACATTCATAATTGTCAACGTTTTGAGACACCTAAACATTTCCGTTTGTGTTGCGTTGGCTGAACGAAAACATTTTTTGGTATAGATTTTGTTTTGAGGACGCACTTGATAGATAAGGATTCTTCCGATTCGCCGTACAGCCATAACTGTCTTTCATGCATCCAGTCGGAAAACGATAAACATGATAGTGGATCATTTTTAACAACAAGCGGCCATCTCCACTGGCTTGTTTTACCAAGTAATCTCTATTTAGGCATATCCAGTTTGAAAGATTACTAAGTCTTACTCGCTTAATCCCGAGTCAAGTTTAAAGTAGTCAACACTTCAGAATAATCCGATTTGCGCATTGTGATCTCTTTGACGTTTGGGCTACCAAGAATAATTCTTTGTGTATCTAGAGGAAACATCTTGTGCAAAGTCTCATTTTGTGCGACGAAAATATTTATTTAATATTGTCTGTAGAACATCCGGCATAATTTCAGAACGTTCCTATTTTTGATTAATTGATTAATCCTTAAAAGTGATCGTTGTTCACCTTGGTCCGATAGGAATCTTAACATCAGACACACAAATTTATATTCCATTGACATATGCAAAGAAATAAAACAAATGGGTTTGACTTAATTGCAAGAACTACTCTCCATTGTTTTGGATGAAAACATTTCTTCGGTCATTCGCGATTAAGAGTTATATTTAACGGAATTGTTTTGAATTCTTGCACGTTTCTAAGAAAAGCTCTTAGCTCTTAAACTTTTTGTATAAATTTGTCACCAGTTCTGTCGCAATAAAACGGAGTCTGTTTGGCGCCTGAGTAAGAACTAGTCGGAAACTGGGTGCGGCCGAGGATGGTCTATTCTGTTCCCTCTTCCAACCAAAATATTTTCCCTTTGGACAATCCTAGAATACTTTGTATCTTTGATGTGTTTTAAACGCACGCGTGCAGATGTCCCGAAAGGCACGTGCTCTTTAATATATTTTGAGCTAGCTCACACAACTTCTTTTGAAGGCGTTTGAAAAATGCGAGGAGTGGGTTTTGTGCAACACATGCATGCGTGTTTATCCTAGCCGGCCGGAAGTAATTGACTCAAACAAAGATAATTCTTTTGGGAAAGCGTAGTATATGCCATATCTGCGCTTTTAATCGATCAGTTTGCCTTCTTGATGAAGGAATTGAAAAGCCAAAGTAAACATTTGCCGTTACAGATTTGGTTTAAGCATCAACAGTCAGGTATTGGCATATCCATCCAAGACCACCCATGAATATTTGAATTCTCCTCCAGAATTGTATTTTCCTTCCATTTAACATCACGCGCGCTGAGTGTAGTTCAAACGATTCCCCGACATCCTGAAAATACGAAAAGAATTCACTTACAGTTTGAGGAGAGAATAAACATGGGATAAATCTCGCGCATGCTTAAAAAACCAAATTTAAAAGCCGACATAATTTTACTGCATGGCTGTATGCAATCAAAAGGGACAGTGAGAATGAACAACCATTGTTGTCTACACATTCATGTGGAGGGTTAAGCAAACTAAACTCCGTCTCTGAGACCACTAAAACGTCTTCTTTACACCCTTTAGTGAAAGTGTCACCTAGCTTTTGTAAACGTGATCGTAGATTTCCCGCCATTTCGTGCCGCGGTTACACACTTTCACCCTAAACCTAAGTTTCATTTTACTGGATATCAGTTCATGTACGGAAATATCGTCCACTGTCTTTTGTAATCAAAGGTTTAAAACTTTCTCTTTTATACAGACTATTTTTGGTATAACCTCCTATTAGCACTTAATAATTCATCCCTTTGAATTCCATGTCATGATCGTAAATCCTATAATTAGACATACAGCGAGAATCAGTGATCTGATGTTAATTGAAAGGCGAGGACCCGTGCCAAAACAGCTTCAAATAGCACAAGATGCAAAAGATAATGGCTTGGTAAAGAGGTCGTATCAAATTATATTGCACTGGGTCTGCCTTTCTGCAGATTGTACATGTTGATCACGCGCTGATAAAGTACCATTAGGGGCAGAACAAGAAACTCAACATAAAACCCCCACGAGTGTTTTCTTTGCATTTGATATTTCACGTTAGTTCCTGTTTCTGATGATGCCATGCGTGCATGATAAATCATTAATGGCGACTTGTCAGTGATGTTTGAATAAGTATGTGCGAGGGAGGACTTTTAAAAGTAGAAGCTATTTTGGGCACTGGTCACTATCTATTACCTGGGGGGAGGGGAGGATTTTGGTTATGTTAGGATAAATATTTACCTGATCCCCCCCATAAGGTTCTGCAATATTCCCTATTTGGCAGCTAAATGGCCGTCAATTTTCTATAGTTCCCCCTTTGTATTATAGCCTTTTGGCGACCACTGATCCCCGCTCCGTCCCCCCTGAAAGCCGTATGATCCCCAAAAAATCCTCCGGTCCCTTATCCACGGGACATTTTTCTAAGCCAGGTATGTACTCAGCAGTACTACTTTTGTCATGCGCGTGACTGATAGCTAAGCCAGCCACATTCTCTGAAACCTTTCAGTACGAAATTAAAAACTCTGAGGAATACTTGCATTTGGGTTAGCCTTAAGGGAATCTTGCTGCAAAAGGAGACAGAAAATCAACGATTAAACTTTAGTTTTTAACAGTAGCTTTCGACTGTTGTGGATTAACATTACGCTTATTTCTAAATCTTCTAGTTTTACAACACGTAATCTTGCTCATGTGGCAGGGCAGGTATGTCTCAGAACAGAGCATTTTGATTGGTTGATTTTAGTTATTGGCCCTCTGACTGCCCGAGTCGTGTAATAAGTCTCAGAACTTATCAAGACAAGTATGTTAAGGGAGGGATGTACTGGAAAAGTCACGCTTAGGGCTGAATATAAATTTACGGTCAAGATGAAAGAGCCTCGAAAGTGCATAAGTTTCACTGAAAAGAAATGGAGCATTATAATGTGAGCGATGATATTTAAAAATTGTCAAAAGTAAGAAATATCATTTCCTCTGTTTACTTCTATAACAGTGATTTTAGCTGAAAATACTTTCAGCTGTACAACTCTCTTATATAAATGAAGGCGCTGTGAAGACAGAGAAAGAATTTGGGATGGGAAAGGAATGTAAAGGTCGGAGATTTTCTTTAACAGGTATGAGAAAAATTGAGGAGAAACAAATCGTATCTTATCTCGCTTTGTAATATTATCGGGGTATTCTTTCGGTCTTCAACCAAACAAAAGTAAATTTGTTTCCCTGTCAAAGGGGATAATAGAAGTAACCTCAATGATTTATGATTTCTTAAGAAGATTTCTGTGGCGCATTTTCTTAGAAGCCTTCCTTTATACTGAAATACAATAAATATTTGAAAAAGATATTCAGCGTTTTAATTACTATTTCATGGAAGTCGTAGGTTTACTGACTTTTTTTGCGATGATTAGAATTTTATTTGAGTTTGTTTGCGTAATACAATCTTCACAATGGGCTTTCAGATTTGATTTGCTTTCGTAAAAGTTTTGCAGATAAAACTCCCTACCTCGTCTCAACATTGACATTGACCAGATCTTCCATGTGCAGAGTTATCAGAAGTAGCCATTCAACATCCTACGGCTTATAACAGTCCTTACTTTTGAGTTACGGCTGATAGTTTCTAAAGAAACTGTTTGGGGCTGCGTCGGTGGGGGTAACGAAATAATTTGAATATATCAACAAAGTTGAAATGGTAAATTGGCCACCGTTACGATTATAAAAGCTGACGTTTCGAGCGTTAGCCCTTCGTCGGAGCAAATAGGGTAATTGTGGGTTGTGTGTGCTTTTAAAGGCAGAAAAAGGAACTACGTGATTGGTGGGAACATGGCATTCCACTAATTTAGTCGTTTTTCTCGTTGCCATCTTACTTTTGAGTTGTTTGACCTCAATAAAAAAAAAAACTACATCCTGTCAGTTCCATAGTTAGTGTAGGTCATTATCTTAACAATGTCAACAACTAACTTACTAAGCTGCACGCTTGACTTGAAGATTGCTTTTCCATCTGGAGCGATTTTGACCTCCCTGGCCTGGCTTGCCTGATCTCTTCACAGAATACCACACGCACCAAGTATTAGGTCGTCTGAGCCAATTTATGGGGCACACAAAATGCAAGAAACGCTGTGAGATTCAAGTATCTATGCCACTCACTGGGTACACCGGGTCATACGGTTATACCTACTCGTAGCTAATCAGGAAAATTAACCTAGTGTCTGAAGTAGCTAGGTTATGTCCAGTTTAAAGAAATGTTCTAATAGGCTTCCTAGTGGTTTTTTTCTTTTTTTGCAATAGCATACATTGATTTGAAGGATTTTTTTTTTTTTAATTAAGGGAGCATACATATTCTCCATACGGTTATAACATCAGAGGATTAGAGATATGTCACTCAGTAGCCACACAAGGCGTTAAAAATGTGAATCGACCTATGCATGACTAGAGCCCAAGGAAGTGTGCACAGTTATCAAGTGAATTAACTATCTGTTTCCTCACTTCTCGGACGCCAGACATACCGGCTTATGGCACTGCCACATACACACTCCACATTCTTTAGTTAGGAAACAGGAAACAATCATTATTTATTGCTGGCAGGGGGGTCTGGGGGGGGAGGGAAAGTTTTGGTGGTGTCTGATCCCCCATAAGTCACTGTAATATTCCAATAATCTCCTCATTGGTAGTAATTGGCAGTAAATTTGCTATAGTCCCCCTTTATATTCTTCTGGCAACGTCTGAGCCCCCTTGTTTTCCCCTGAAAACCATGTGTTCGATCCCCAAAAATACCCCTCTTCTCGTTATACCAGGCGATAGATAATCACTGGTCCCTTTTGAGGACCTTTAATTTTGTGATGTTTCCCAATCAAGATCCATCTTGAAACTGGGACTAAAACTAATTTACTCTGAATAGGTAAAATAATCCTTGAAGAGCGAAGGCCTGAAATGTTCTCAGAATTGCAGACGTTCGTTTCACTGACCCAGTCATGTCCAGATATCTGCAATTATTCAGGCCGGGCCAAGGGTTTCGGGTATTGGGGTATCCATATTTGGAGCCTTTTTTTACTTTCATTAAGTCATCTCTACTTGATGAGCGAGGGGGTTGGGAAGGGGGTATTGGCGAGCTCTAAATACCGCTGACCGAAAATCCCACAGTCCCTCCTCCTAGTGTGCGACAAAGATATGTACAATCCAATATTTTATTAACTCTTTACTAGTCAGCACCAGGTTGATGTACACACTTTCCACTGCGAAAGACTGGCTTGAAAAGAGATACAGCATAACGAGGCTCCCACAAGTCTTAGCAGGCTGATCTGAATTAATCAAGTTAAACTAAACTTGAAAAATCTAAAATCCAAAATAATATATTTTTAACTCTGACAGACTTTGTACATAGTTTTAATAACTAATTTACATGCTATGATTTCAATGTTTATCTTCTCAGTCTCATTATAATATAAACAATAAATAATATGTATTTCTACTTGACTGTGTAATAATATACATTGTACAGTGTATCTACGAATATTGTGTCATCCATACGTATTTGGAAATATTAAAAAGAATTCCATGTCAGCGGTCGCCCGGATGTGTTTGCATCAAGATTTGATGTTTCAGCGAAAGGCTGAGGAACCACGCACGAATCCTTGTTTTCTTTGGGTGCATGTATGTTGTACAAATCGTCTCTATCATTTTCTTCGTTCTGTATTGGTATTTCCTCTTCAATCGTTGGTATTAATGTTGTCGTGGAATCAGCTTGTGTTTTCTTCTTTTTAACTTCCTGATCTTCGCGTTTTTGTTTTCTCCACTTTGCTCTTCGATTTTTGAACCAAACCTGCAGAAAGATTTAGTTATATAATTTATTCAAAAAAGTGTCTGAGGCTTATACATTTCCTCAGTGTAAATTCATTGCAAAAGGCGCATTTACCAGCTCAAATGAAAATTAAAAGTTTAGCATGACAAAGAATGGTTAGGACTGGTCTTTATTTATCCTTTGTTCTTACAATCTCTCTCAATTTTTAATTGGTTAACTGGCAGTCAATTTTTTACAGTCCCCTCCCACTTTATACTCTATTGGCGAAGACTGAACCCCCTCCGTTTCCCCTGAAACCTTGTAACACCCCATCCCCCCTCTCAGGCAATCAATAATAACTGGTTCATTAATTCGATGAGCTGAATGAAGGCCAATACTGTTTACAGTTGCATATTTACCGGTTTTCAGGGAATATTATGATGCGGTATGTTAGACATGAAAGACAACGTTGGCAAACGTTGCCAAATGTTGCTAAGTGTGTCCACTAATGTACATTTGTTGAAGAATACTGCTACCTTTAACTTCACAATGTATGTTCAATGTCGTCATTATACTGACTGTTTCCGTCGACATATCGTTCTTTTATGATAGCTCTCAAAATATGATTCTTAAAAAAAAATTAATTTTTATCATCAAATCTAACCCACCTGCATGTAAGTTTAGCACTAACTGGTAAATCGATGTTTGACAAGTTACATTTTGTGTTAAGCGGATTAGCTGTTTGCATCAAAAGCAGTTGGTTAGCCGCCAAGGTTGTTTCATCATATGCGAAACTAATATTAGAAACAGCTGATTCGAAGAACAGGTCTTAATAAGTCCTTAGGCAGCGAAAATGAGGAAAGGAATTAATTTGCTCGCCATCTAATAAAGAGAAGATACCTGGAATTGTATCAACATGTATACGGTGAACTAAAAGAAAACGCTCACAAAGGCTGGAACAGGAAAGCGAAGCTTACGATTCGCAATTAACTGTTTGACATACTTATTTCAACCGCACTTTTGTCCATGAACAAATTTGTGTTTAAGCTCTTAATTGACTTAGCACCCAATATATTAAAATTACTTTAACCCAGACACAAATCTGTTGAAGAATCGGACGATTTTCACAATGTCTAAGTGTGAAAATTTTACATTTGGCCTGCCGGCTCACTTGAATTCGAAACCACAATTCATCCTACACCCCGCAGACCCGACTCCTATCCGCCTCCGTGTCAGCCGTCCGAGGAGAGAATAATTAATGTTGTGTTAACTGTAGATCTCTTAACCGATGCACAATAGAGATCCTCAAGAATCCATGTTTCATTATTTTGCTGGATCTTTTTTGTCTGACTTGAGAACTAACGCCGTGGATCATTTTTTTACCTTTCCCTGATTGTGTTCACTTCTTGATGTGCGATCAGCGATCAGTGAATGTGCGTAGTGACACCGTATTCTAATCCAGAAAAGTCCAAGACTTCATCATAGAATTATTCGATCTTAGCGGAAAGAAAATCCAAACGCACTTTCGCTCGAGAAAAAAGAGAAATCTCAACAGATTATTTCAGCCGTCGATTCCCAATCGACAAACCTTTGATCGACCAAACTGTTTGATACGATTGGAACTGAAGCTCGAAACATGAAAACCGATGAAACGCATAAAGGCTACGATTTTTATCTTACCTATGATGTTTAGATACCAATGAATAGACGCACTGAATATTAAACCCACTGAACAGTGTTTATCGAAAATTTAGAAACATTGTGCGACTTTACAAACTGAGTTTGTGTCTTTTCAGATTTGTTTTCTCTCAATCTCGATGTTCAGCAAAATCCACCAATATTAGTGATATGAGCGAAAGAATCAGACCTCTGCGGAGAAAGTGTCTTACCTTCTATTAGATCGTTTGTAAGTTTTCAGCTATCTAAGCAAGAGATATATGAACCACTTGAATAAAAAGATCAGGAAATACAGTGATTCACACCAACCTACAACAGAAAGTGCATAGAATTTGCTCACTGTGCTGTTAGGATTTCATCAACACAGTCTTCCGAGAACTGGCCAATTCCTAAATTTTACTGCATAATTTGAAAGGAAAATAAGATCAGTAAAAAATCGCTTAAATAGTTTTCTTTATGAAAGTTTATTTTCTATACTTTGCGGATCGCAGTGAAGCTCCATGAATCTAGGAAATTCCAAAGTTGTTTGTGTGTTGACGTCAGAAGAACGCAGTCGAAACTACCAATTGATAAGCTACTTTGTTGTACATAGCAATGCTCCCTAAAACCTAATTTTTTTTTACTTTGAAATAAACTGGATACTAAGGGAAGAAAGTCTGATATTAAACCGACTTCAACACCTTAAGCCTGTGGTATAAACTATTGAAAATATCATGGAACAGGACTGGAAGTCTTTGCCTTGCATTCCACCCGATCAATGGAGTCATTCACAAACGGAGTCAACTTTACTCGCAAAGACGATCTCTTTTTGCAAGGAAGTGATTAGAATAAAAGCTCCCGATGTTTACTCTCCATTTGAATAATTTAAGTATGGCTTTCATAATTCAATTACCAGTTTAATACCCGGGATTTATAAAGCGCGAGAATTCACACATCTTCAAGACTTATGGTCGCCACTCTGCAATTCGCGTTGGCAAATTACGAATACTTAGCAATCGTTAGTCTAGGCCTTTGAGCTTCTCTCTAGTAAGACGCCCTTTTTTTTATAAACATAAAACTTTATTTCTTTAATCATAGCCTTCTTATTAGGTGACCACCCTAGAGAAAAGAACTTTGGTACATTGATGAATACCCAAGAAAAATGGGTGTACCTCAACTGTTATCAATTGCAAATGGCGCGCCAGCGGATCGTAGAAACTCTTTTCCTTTCTAAATATTTTAAAGCTTCTTTGAAAAATCTTAATAGTTGTGCAGCAGAAGTATGACAGACATCAAGAACGTGTAACAAAATCATGCTTTAAGTTTTAGGGTTTTGTAGTTGTGCTTTTAAAAAGATTTTGTACCTGACCATGCACCGCCACTGCTTCAAACAACGAGTTCACGTATCTGTGCGAAGTGACATCTCTTACAAAAGTTGAAAGATCTACATTGCTCAACTCCTTTCCACTGAACAGTAAATACCAAAACTTATTTCCAGTACCATTTCTATTCACGTTTAAAATGAAGAATAGCACAACTCCTGGACTGATTTAGTTGAAACGGGCTTACTGCTCAAGATTTACAGAAGGACCATGTCACTCAAACTTCTGGACATGCCACGTCTACTTGTGGCATTTAGAGAAATCATTAATCTTCAAAGTTTTGACAGCAATATGCTATCGTATTTACTCCACGATTATTACGATTAGAGTCGCGGTGCCCTTAGAAAAGCCAGCGATAGCGTCAAGTAGGTCGAGATATGTTTGTACAATGCAAAAACAGATTTGAAAGTGCCACAGCGCAAAAGGCACAATATTTTTTCGGAATCGTAAAAATAGACTGGAAAATTATGTCTAAGATTTGAAACTTTTCCTTTGTTTGCACGAAATCTAATCGGTTGGAGTTTATCGTCATTTGCGTTTTTCATTGTACACATTTTACCTGGTCATGGGCCATATTTTGGTTTCCTCCGTTTCAGTCGGCGAGATTCCATAATTGCATTTACGCTTCGCTTCCGTAATTTTTTTCGGCTCTGTTAACATCAAACACTTTGATAAACAAATTGAATAGCTTCTGAAATAGTTTCTTGCCAACTCTCTTTACTCTTCACAAAGCAAAGTTAGAAGGAACTAAGTGGCAGCAATATTAAAAGCAATAGCTTCTATTTGTGGTGGTTAAACAAGAGCATCAGGAACACGCAGGCTTGGATAAGCGAAATAAATACCCCCTCCGTTCTTACCTCGACGCGTTCTTCTCTGAGTTCCACCTTCATGGCGAGTTCCTCCCGAAGAAGAACATCAGGGTAATGAGTTTTCTGAAACGTTCCTTCAAGCAGTTCGAGTTGTTCCTCGGTGAATATCGTTCGGTGTCGTCTTTTACGTTTCGGTTGTGAACGTAAAAGATCCTCGAATCGCGGAAATCCTGAAAAATAGAATCGCACAAACAAATAAATTAGTGACGACGAGGAGTGCACGAGATCTGGTCTGTTTGTCTTCACTTAGTTTCTCTGTACGTCTTATGGTCACCATCTGTTGAGAGTTGCACTCGCTAAGCTTTTGAAACTTTAATCTGTGGGTGTAACTGTTCCAAGGCCGTAGCGAATTAAAGTGTTATCGAGACACCAAGGGCTACAAATCGTCAAAGTCCTTATATGATACAATAATCTTGCAAATAACACCACGTGAACGGAATCAACTGCCATTTTTTCGAAGTGTAATCCGCTCCCCCAGAACCGACCCACGTCACGTTTCGATGGATCAATAGAAAGCTTTGCAGAAAAGCGCCTGGATGGAACACAATCCACTTGTCGAGTTAAGTGCCTGTAAAATGAAAAGAAACAAAATAACTGTACCGATATAGCCTGGAGCCAGGGCTGGGATAATTGGGTACGGGTGTGGAATTGTGTAAGGCACACATCGCTGGTGGGTTGGCCGCGAAAGAATGCTCTCAATAGTGAAGGAGGATCTGAAAGCAGACATGATCCGTTGACCCAAATAAATTCAGACTGAAGTTTCTTAAACGCTGGGTTCTTAACGCTGTTTCACCAACCGCCCGGAAGAAATGTGCTTGATCAGTGTCACCGAATCACACTGACTGACTAATAGGCCCAATATGCCAGCCGCTTTGTAGCCAAAAGGATTTACGAATTACTTACAGTGTTAATTCGTTACGTCATAAGAGGTGTTTGTCTCCGGTGAACGACCCCTCTTAGACCGGGGACAGCTCTTCGGAAATCAGCCAATCACGAACTAGAGAGATAATTGAATTTTGATTAAAATAACACAAGGAGCAAAGTCAATTAGCTCGAAATTGTGCAGTTTACTGACAGCATCTCTTTAGTATTTAGCGCAAGTGCAATTCATAAATCGTGAAGGCATTGCTGTCATGATTGACAGAAATGCTTTCTGTAAGCACCGCCCCATCGATTTAGAGGTTAATGTAGCACGAATTGGAGTAATTGTTCAGCCCTTTATATTTTCCGCCTCGAAGCTCATCTTGAACTCTTGAGAATACGTTCTACCTAACAACTTAACCCTTGTTAAACTCTTTTGTTCTTGATAAACATTTTGTTGAAGCACTAAGGCTGTAGATTGACAGCTGAAATGTATACACTTCTAATCTTTCATGTCAATGAAGGCTTCTAAAAATTTTGGCCGTACCTCTTGTGGGGTAGAGTTACATACCACGAAGGGGTTTCTCTAAGAGTACACCCTGCTTGGGTGCCGTATGTTTTTGGTTTTGGTTCACTTGGTTATGCAGAAACTGAGATTAGCCCCAAACGATTCCTTACTATCAGCAATATGATTTCACACTGTTTCTGATCATTTTTATCCATTTTCGGGAAAATTAAAGAATTTTTTAAACTTGTTATCAAGTCTACCTGTTTTGACACCTTAGCAGAGACGTGCAAACCCTTTGGCGGCAAAGCACCCGTAATCTGCAACTGACTGCGAGAGAAAATTGAATTGGCGTGTAATTACTTAATTAGCACTTTAATTTCTTTTGTCTTTATTCTGTCTCCGGTGCTTTGGTCCTTCAAGGAACTGTACGTCTCCAAAAATAAACTTCTTCCTTACATCTAAATGTTCTTATTGAAAAGTCATCGTAGAATTTAATTATCAAGACCAAAACACAAAATTACATTACCATTAAGGTATATAAGTTAACTCGTTACCGTCTGACGGCTTTTCATTAACTTCTTACAGTTCTGTTGTTTTTCATCGTGGGGGGAACCCAAATGTGATGTGTTAGCTTAATAAAGTTGCTTTGTTTTAATAATTTCTTGCCCCTTTAAGGGGGTATATTTGCAAGGACCTGTTTACTTGAAGTTAATGAACATGATTTTTTGTCTGTTGTTAGTTTATTCTACTCCCTAATCTTTAATTTGTTTTTCAAATCGATGCCAAAACCTACCAACTCTTAGTAGCCTTCAATCATTGTTTTTGAACAGTTCTTGTTTAAGTTCCACTTGGTATTAAACTAGGTTGTTTTCGACCGTTTTGAAATATTTTTGTTTTTTATTCAACCACCTTCATCTGAGCACATGCGCTTTTGTCAAATACACATACACTCGGGAAACATGGGGACCAAACTGGTTGGGTTATGGAATACGACTTAAAACCCGAAAAGGTATGAACTTAGTTCTTTCTGGAAGTTGCCTTCTGTTTTGAGCCTCTTACCACAACAATTAAATATATTTCGGCCATAACAACGAAAAATATATTCAGAGTTAGTCCGCAATATATCTGCAGGTGTAAACGAAACTGAACTGAATGAGCGAAGCGTCTGAAGATTACAGTCTCGCGAATGTTATCACAAGGTTGTAAGATTAAATGATCAGTAAGTTAAAAAAAATTGGTCACAGTCCTATTATTCGTAGATTTGGAATCCCATCTTTTCTCAAAAATGATCATGTGAGGTGCATAATGAGTTTTATCACTGGCTAGTTTTCTGCGTTTTTTTTTTTCTTTTTTTTTTTTACATCTGTATGATGACAGCTTAATATGCCGTAGCTGTTAAACATTATTCTTCCAGGGATGGTTTGTAGCAATCCTGTGTGCCGCAAAATGAAAACTGCGTTTGAGCGGATCATTGGGTTGACCTCGCCAATTCTTTCAATTGAGGGAGCGACTAGCAGACGGCAGCACTTCTTAACTGTTAGATCCCAAAATCTAGGATTTTCAATTTCTTCTAGAATATGGATATGGTTGCTAAAATTACTCACAGGATAGACCTTACACCACTACTGCTATGGTTTTTATGAAATGAGCAAGTGTGGTCTGTCTAGCATGTTGCAAATACCCTCAGATTTTTACCCCAAAGATCTACAATACTGTACATTTAATTCTGTTACATTTACCTTCGTATTGTACCAATCCCGTGACTCCAGCTATTCTGAGTGAATGACATAAAAGGAAGCAAAACCGGTTCCGCTACTTTTGCGGTCAACACATTAAACATGTGGTTATTCCTAAGACGCTGAAGTCGATATAATCTGACTTACCTTTTGAGAGTGGGGCTGAGTTTATGGAGAAAACCTTATAACTGAACAGCTTGCTTGAGATTCAGCAGTTGTTTTCTCACAACATAGTTAATTCACTCGTTTTATGTCAAGATCACTGTGTCCTCAGGGATCGATGAAAATAGTACTAGTGAAAACAAAAGCTTTTCAATATTAGTGGTATACAACAGAAATTCTTTTAGGCCTTTTACGAATATTATTTCGCACTGTCATCTTTTAGGCCGACCGTGATTTTTGTTGTCCAAGAATGTTCTTCTCATAATTTTTAAATTGTATTCAGCAAGATTTTAGTGATCTCTGCATTCGAGAATGTATGTTATAGGTGGAAAGCTGTTTGGAAGAAAAACTGTAAAATTATACCGTGGTTCGCTATTAGGAGTGGTTCATTGTGTCTTAGTTACTTAATGGTATCCTTCCAACACCGAAGCAGAAAGAGTCTGCTTGTTCTCTCTGGATCCGCGCGCGTAAATATAAAGCTTAAAATGGAGAGGGAGAGAGATAATGCTTGCAGCTGCCAGACATAAACCAGCTCAAGTGAAACGAAGTGAAAAAGCCAGCTTGTGACAAAATCCGTTCTCACGTTCTTTTGCAATACAGAGCGGCATAGCCATTTAGAGTGACGTTATCTCACTACCATCGGTTCCAGAGAGCTGCGATTTTCAGATGTTCTTTTAGGCTAATAATTCACAGTGTTATATTACTTAAGCTTTATGTTTAGAAAACCAGGCCGTTACTTTTGAGGTTAAACTATAAATCAACGATATCTACATAAAACTGAATATCTGTACATACAACTGAATGAGAAACCGGCAAGTTTTGTTTATCAGCCGTTCGAATTCGAAAAGAGAGGAATGGAGCATATGTAATTATGGACTAAGGCGAGGGAATGAACTTGTTTCATATCAGTGAAATGAAAAGTGAACATACGTGAGGTTTATGGAACACATTGAGGGGAAGGTATGTGTTTTGACTTTGAAGCAAAAGACTGGCAGACGTTTCGTTAAACTTGTATACCAAAACTCTTACTCCTCTCCTATTTCGTTTCAAAAATCCCTCTCTATGATTTAGCCACCATGAACACTTAATCTCATGCGGATTCTCCTTACTGGATACCAATCTATCAAGAAAGTTCAAACAAGTTGTGAAATTGTTAGCAGGTTATATGCCCGCAGCAAACCACAGCCCTTTCGCGTGCACTCTGTATTTAACCCAACGAACAGTAGATAACACTTTACTAATCGTGTTATAACAGGCCGGGAGGGCGGTTATGGGTTATCTGTGAAGACTGAAAGGTATTTATGCATTCTATAAAACGGCCTTCTTTCAAGAATAGCTCAGTGCTACAGATATAACTTAAAATGTATCTGGCTTATCTTTATTTTTAGCATGATACGGTAATTTTATGTTTTTGTCATGGCCTTTCGGCAAAGCAAAAATATAAGATGCAGGAAATTTGAGTCCTTGGTCAATTTCGGTTCTATATGTCGAGCGCTATTTGGCGTTTTCTCAACAATACAATTGGAACTGAAGGATGACTATAATTTGAATCAGGGTTGTAGCTTCCTGTGGGGAAGTTGAACCTTTGAAATTAGCTCTAAAGGAAATGGAAATTGTCACTGTCTTCTCGCAATCACTGGCGATCGAAATGTCGAGGCTTCGCGGGAAAGCCTTTGGCACAATAATTATAAAGTCGTTAACGGTGTCGTAGCGGAAAACCGACACTCGAAGACGTCTAAGAAATACAAGGACATGCCGCGAATCTGCGCGGAAGACAGGAGGAAGAGGGTAAAGCCTGGTGTCCTTATGTTTTGAAAATGGTCATACATAAGTCAAAACTCCTCAAGTCTTCACGTGGAAGTTTGTCATGATGTAAATCACCTATATGAGGTTCTAAACCGGCCTTTCTTCAAGTAAATGTGTTTCATTGCTGGGTCTGTTTGTTTTTAGCCCACAGGCTCTCTCACAAGGGCTTTGTAATGCTATTTACTGACTTCTCATAAGATACCACTGTAAGCATGACTTTAACCAAAATAACTTAACTTGGAGAATAAAGGTGTCAGCAGTGGTTGTAAAGAGCTCTGGGGAACTCTTCAATATACCTATACCGGTACGTTTCCGAGCCTCGTTCTGCAATGTCAACAAAATGAGTTGCGAAGGATTCGATCAATGAAACTCCTATCCCCAGCCACCAAAAATTATCTTGGTTTGGAAGGAGAGTCATTCGTGATTCATAATAGCGTTACTGGTGCGGTGCCTGATACTCAAGATATTCAAAGATCAACTATAAATTAGCCAGAGGTGAAAACAAAAAATCTGAAATCACGGTTATGGTTACGGTTTTTAAACTCTTAAGGAGTGCCCTGTTTTAAACCGAGAGCCCAGGTTCACTAAAAGCTCAGTGAAGATGGCCGCGTAACTCAGCTGCTTAGGTAAGTTAGTCGTCAAGAAGAGAATGGGAAAACTGTGTTTTGTGCGAAAAAAGCAAACTTTAATAGTTGCTCAAAAACCAGGATTTATTTATGTGCTTTGTAAATGAGGAAAAAGTCAGTATGAGAACGTTACTAGCCCGCCTGCAATGCTGAAATGCAGTAGATAATTTGAGCTACCTTTACGTCTCACGGTAGTATACGTTGTTTCATATTTTTCTAAAATAAGTTTCGGGTCATTGCTCGATGTTTTTGTAATTAGCTTCTTTTCCTGAAATGGTAATATTTTCACATTTGTGAAAGGCAACGTTGGGTTATCCTTTGTCTTCTTTCGAAAAGGCGACTAAGTAATTATATGAAATGTTTGCGCCAAGAATTAAGGGATTATATCTTACAAGGAGACCATGTGTGAAAAAGTCTCTTGTCACCAGGGGGGTCGACAGCTCAACACAGTTTAAATGTTTTACTACATAATCCCAGGCCATTGCTGATGGAATATCTCTGGGTTTCGTGTCTAATTAATAATCCATCCACAATCAGTCAACTATTACATACCATAAATCTTGGTCGGTACGAATCACATACATGCATGATCACACAGCTGTTTTGCGATTTTTTTTTTTTTTTTTTTATAAATTTATTTGTTTCTCTTTCTTTTATCTATTTATTTATTTATTTATTTATTCATTTTTCGGTTTTCAATAGGCTTTTTTATTTTACACCTTGAGTTCTAGTGGCACTTGATAAAGCAATAAATATTCCCCTCCCCCTGTCCCCTCAGCATCGCTGGTGCATGGTGATGTTCCGCACGTGATAGCCTCGTTTCCACAGGACTCGTGGGGAACTGGTTTGGACCTCAACTACCAGGCCTTCTTATGGCGGCGATGGCGGCTTTGTCCGTGCTGTAGTATTTCACGCTGTAATTTTTGGGTAATTTTTGCTCGAAGAATGCCACGGAAGGTTGGTTTTATGAATTAAATAGTGTCTTAGAGTGTTAGAGGTATTCTATGTGCGAACGGTGTAATTTTAACATTTTGATTTTATTATATAGCAGGAATCTTAAGACTAGCGTACATTTTAGTGAGAAACTTGGCACGACTTTCTACTGTTTCTGTCTACTCCCTTCTTGGTTCTGTCCTCGTGTACCGGTTCACAAGAGCCGAGACAAAAGACCGAGCAATGCACAACAGCTAACCAATGACTCCTAAACAAAGAAAGAACAATGGTAATTCCCTTTTGAACCGGTACACCAGGACAGAACCCCCTTCATTAACCAATAGTGTTAGTTAGGAAGAGAATAAACCATCACTCCGTCCTTGAATTTTTAGAGGAAGTCTGCTGTATTGAAAGAACCAAAAGTTTCCACAGAGACCGAATTACAAGATCAGCAACAGAAAGTGAACTTGGTAAATGAAGAGGAGAATGAAAAACCCGTCTGTGAAACAACGAACAAACAAGTTCCTGATCCCTCTCCCCCTGAAATTGTGGAAGAGGTCTTTACTGCTGAAAGGTTATTTGAGTATCAATGGCCTCCCGACAGATCAGGAGAGTTTTATCTTCTGCAGCATCAAGTGTGTCAGTTTCTGGAAACAGAGGATCTTGAAGAAAAAAATCCAGGTAAGAAATTTTGGCTGCCTCTGTATTAAGAAAAATAATCCAAAGCAACTTACTGAAAAACAGTGTTTCTCTATCATTTAGGTCAACTGTTAAGATGCCCAGAGATTTCCAAGGACATTATAAAAATTTCGAACAACTTTTTGAAGAGCTCAGACGCAATCGGGCTATTCCACATGAGACATGAAAATTTGACAGATTTTCAAATTCAAAATATGAGAGCCAAACTTACTTTTAATGGAAGCTTATACATAGTTCTATAAGAATCCAAATCTAGATTG